CCCCCTGCGTAAGCGCAGTGTGGCTGTGGCCAAGACCAAACCCAAGTTTAGCATCTCTCCGAATTCCCTGTCCTGAGCCATGGTCCCTTGGGCCCCCACGTTGCTGGTGTGCCCAGGGGCAGTGTGGTATGGTATGTAGAGTGGACATGGTGTGGGCCCCTTGGCCAGGCCAGGACCTGGTGTGAGGCTGGGCCCTCTTCAGCTCAGCCTCCCCTCCTGCTGTTAGCCCATGGTGTTACAAGACACTTGTCACTACTCTATTTCTGGCCTCAGCAGGAGCCTGTACGGGGTTATTTTTGTCTCTGCTCCTCCCAGCCCCAGCTCAGGACTGGCTCACCCCCCTCCCCCCTCCCCGGGCTGGGGAAGCTGTGGGAAGTGTTGGGCCCTAAAGTTGGGTCTCCCACCAGTTCTGCATCCCCATGATCAATTGACCACAATCTGGGCAGGTGGCTGGGGAAGAACAGTCCCCAGGTTTGCAAACTGCTGCTCTGTTTTGGTGGCCCCAAGAGATGACCAGCCACTCTTGGTCCCTGAAGAAGTGATGGCCTAATGGGTGGGCCCTGCCAGCTGGGGAAGGCAGTCAGTGAAGGAGCGTATTCCAGCTGGAGGGTTAGAGGCGTGGAACCGACACAGACAGAGACAGGCGGAGACTGGTAGGGCTCTCCTCCCTAGGGCAGACTCAGGCAAGGAGGAAGTGGTATGAGGACACGCGGCTATGCTGAGCCCTGGTCAGGCACAGGAACGAGGAGATGGGCCCCTGTGCCCCCGCCCTGTGCCCTGACACCAAGGCGTCTCTGGTGAGGGGCTGCTGTGCCTGCCTGCTCCCCTTCTGTCCCTGCCCCAGGAGGGGGGACGGGCTGGGGCAGACGGTGGCGTGCCAAGCAGACAGGGGCTGCGGAGAGGGGGTCCTGGGCCTACCACACAGATTGAACGCTGGCTCCCCACCAATGGCTCTCACTCAGTGTCTGTCCAGAGTGGGGCAGTGGAGGGTCATTGGGTCTCTAGAAAAGGAGATGTTGGAAAGCTCAGGATGGTGGGGGTGAGCAAGGCCCCTGATGCAAAGAGGACCTTGGTCCTCACGGGCTTGACCTCAGGCGGGGCTCCTGGAGCAGTGCTATGTGGCTGGGGAAGGAGGGGGCATACTGGCGGATGGGGAGGGAGGGGGCTGGCAGCTGCCCGCCCACATTCCAAAGGTGCCACAGATCCTAGCTGGGCGTCCAGGAAAAGGACCTGGGGCTGACCCTTATCACCCAGTTCAGAGAGACTTTTACCTTTTTGCCTCAGGTAGCCCAGCCCTGCCAGCCTGTCTGGCCATCTCAATTTTGGGGCACCTACCAGGCTTATAGCCTTGGGCCTGGCCTCCACTCCCCGGGGATCTGCTGGAAGGCTGGGGTGGTCGGGGGAGAGGTGGGGCCATCATACGCATTAGTGTACAGAGATATTGCAGGTTTGGTTCCAGACCACCGCAACAAAACAAATATCGCGATAAAGAGAGTCAAATGAATTTTTTTTTTGGTTTCCTACCGCACATAAAAGTTATGTTTACACTATACTGTAGTCTGTTAAGTGTGCAATAGCATTATGTCTAAAAAAAAATGTACATGCCTTAATTAAAAAATATTTTATTGCTAAAAAGTGTTAATCATCATCTGAGCTTTCAGTGAGTCGTAATCTTTTTGCTGGAGGATCTTGTCTCGATGTTGACGGCTGCTGACTGGTCAGGGTGGTGGTTGCTGGAAGTTGGGGGGGGCATGGCAATTTTTTAAAATTAGACAATGAAATTTACCACATCAATTGACTCTTCCTTTCACGAACAAGATTGTGACATCCCCAAGTCTGTGGTTCCTTGAGGTCGGGGACTGTACCTGATTCAGCATTGTGTCTGGCACTAAGTGCTAAGTGAATGAATGAATGATGAATAGCGTATAGGACACCAAGCCAGCATCACTGTTGCTGTTGGAGGCCGGCAGTGGGCTTTAGCTGGATCAGTGAGAGTTTGTCCTGGGCTACTCCAGAGGTAGGTTTGAAGAGCCAGGAAGCTGCTGTTGCTGGTTCAAGCTCTAAGCTGCCCCTTCCTGCACCCACACAGCCCCCCAACATTGACCAGTTTGTGGTTTAGAAGAAGAGGGATGAGAAGCTACTCAGAGTCAGCCCAGAGTTCTGGGGACAGTGCCTGGCTCCTGGGACTCAGCTTGGCTGTCCTTAAGACCAGGAGAGGGGCCAGACTCATTAATGAGAAGCTGCTCAGCAGCACCATTCTTGGAACCCCATCCAAAGTAACCTTCCTCCTCCCCCTCCACCTTAAATGGCTAGGGACAGTGAACCGACAGAACTGAGGGTTCAGCGCCACCTGCTGGCCACAGAGAAGACCTACTTGATCAGAAAATCAGGACCACTTGTCCCAGTCTTTCCACTAAGAGACCTCCTAGCCTTAAGGCTTAGGTCAGGGAGGAGCTAGAAAGTTCCAGGCATGGAGGGAGCTGCTAAACTCAACAGGGAAGGGAAGCCAAGCCACCATCTTTCTGAATTTCTAGTGAAACTGAATTTCTAGTCTGGAGAAACTAGCCCACTAGCCATACTGGAAAGCTGCCCAGGTCTGATGCCTATGAATTTGGCATCTCCAGCCAGTTACTGCAAGGCCCACATGTTACCCCTGAAGGTGGCCCTCTGGCCTTTCTGCTGGAGAGGACACACCCACCTTCTATAAGACCCACTTTCTCTGGCCAGGTGGCATCCTTCCAGCTCTGTCCTAAACTTGAGATCCTCCCCAACATCTTCCCTAGGGAGCTTGTGGTGAGGAGTCGAGTAGCCCCTGGCTCCCCATAGCTCTCTGGGCTCACCTCTGAGGTCTCCCCAGTTTCAGGTATCAGACACCCTATGTTGTATGAAGACACAAATTCTGCATGTCAAAGTTATGTTGACCTGAGATCAGGGCAGGTCTAAAGCACAACAGATCTGTTCCAGCTTGAAAGGAGCTGGGAAAAGGCAGAGTGATGGGGTTAAAGTCAGAATTGGGTTCTAGAGGGGCGCTTGGGTGGCTCAGATGGTTAAGCGTCTGCCTTCAGCTCAGGTCATGATCCCAGGGTCCTGGGATTGAGCCCCACATCGGGCTCCCTGCTCAGCAGGGAGCCTGCTTCTCCCCCTCCCTCTGCTTCTCCCCCTCCTCATGTTCTATCTCTGTGTCTCGAATGAATTTAAAAAAAAAAAAAAATCTAAAAAGAATTGAGTTCTAGAGAGTGGATTTGTTGGACTAGAATCAAGATTACTGGCATCCTCTCTGCCATGTCCACCTGCCTGGGGCATTGTATATACCTTCACGGAAAGGGAAGAAGGTGCTACCTACACCCTCCCCTATTTCCACTCTGGGAAGGCCCCACTCTGGATTAATATGAAAGGTAGGCTACCTAGACTGGCCAGCTTGCGTACAAGGAGTGCAGACTTCTGCCTTTCCCTTGACCTTGTGTCCTTCTGGGCACTGATGCCAATGAGCGGAACAGGTGATTCAAAGTACTAGGCAACTATGCAATTTATTTCCTTCACTGGGAGAAACAACGGCCCTCTTCAGCTCTCGTGAGTCACATGCCTCTACTTCATGAAACTATCCTTTTTTATGGCACAGTATGTCCCAAACTCCTCCTCCCCAGACCGTCGGCACTCAAGGTGAAATAAACAGACCAGGTAGGCCTGCCTCTGTCTATTCTTTACTTCATTTTATCAATTCCAGTTTTTCTCATGATGCCATCATTGTTGGGGCAGAGAAGTTACTCCCGAGAGAAGTAAATGCAATACAGTTCTGACTGAGACTTTCACTGGTTGTCAAATTCCTACTGTGTCCTTGATCTCCCATCCATCTTGGAAGTAGAATGAAAATCATCCTATAGTTCTACCTCTTTTGTGCCCCTTTTGGTCTCTGAAGGTCTGACCAGCATACTCATTTCTGAGCTTAGTTAACTCCTTAACGCACTTTCTTTTTTCCACATCATAGATTCCTTTCCAATCAATAATGTCCATTCTATAATCCCCCACATTTTACATCTAATGTTTTACCTTCCTATAAAAAGATCCCATTTGTCATTTTCCCACCTAATTTTATTTTTCCCTTATATTACTTTATTACTCTATTATAATCTCTACAAAATTATTAGAATTTCTTTTAAAATCTCGACTGCCTTACTTCTTGTTCAAGGGGTGTCATTCTTTTTGAATCACTCTTTCAATGACTGTAGGCGGCTTTGAACTACTTCATTTGTTTCACAGTTCTAACTGTTGCCCTGTTCTTCCTTCCAGATCTCCACTTTATGAGATTCTTTGTCTCCTCTAATATGGTATATTCTTGAAATAGGCACCACCTAAACTGATGCTGCAATTCCCAGTGCTGCCACTAGAGACCACTCTAAACCACCCTCAGGTGGGAGTTCGGCTATGGGGAGTCCTCTCTTTAAGCCAAGAGTCTTCCATGTTAGTTATGCCCATGAATGAGCTCACTGAGCGCCCCCTCGCCGCTGAGTGTCCTAAAAACTGTTTTCAGGGTCATTACTTCAACTTTCAGTAGAGATGTGAACAGGGCTTCTCTGCCCCACAAAGATCCTGAAATACAACTGCACATCCCTTGATAACTACATTCAGAACCACACTGTATCTTACCCATGACTAACACCTGGCATGACACTCCCACAGCCCTGTCAGCCTGTCCTGAATGAGGTGCCTGCACACAGGTCCACTTAAGAATAGCATCAGCCACCTTGGTTCAGTTACAGAAAATGAGGCAATGGTCAAACACACCAACAGGTCCTCCCCTAAGAACAGACAAGAACAGTATAGAGTGAGCCTCTCCTCTAGATCTAATGATCCAGCTCATCCTTCACACCCCAAGCCCACCCTGGATCTTTCTTGGTAGTATGGCATATTGATTAAAAATCCAAGCTCTACTCTTTACTAGCCATGAGACCCTAGACAAATCACTTATCTCCTCTCAAAGAATAACTCAGAGATATTAAAAGTGCAGCTGCATACTTTTATTCTTATATTAGCATGTATAGGTGGATCTCATTGAACTAAGAAGTAGAATTTGAAATGGAAACAGGCCACAGTCTAAAAACAGTGTTACTTTTGGGGGAGGAGTATAATTGACATACAGTACATCAGTTTCAGGTGTACAACATGATCCAGTAGTTGTATATATTGCAAAATATCACCAAAATAAGTCTAGTTAACATCTGTCACTATACATAGTTATAAAAATATTCTTTTCTTAAAAGTTTTTCTAAACTGTTTTAAGATTTACTCTTAGTAACTTTCAAATACGCATTACAGTACTATTAACTATAGGCACCATGGTGTATATTACATCCCCATAATTTATTTTATAACCAGAAGATTGTACCTTTTGACCACCTCCACCCATTTCATCCACCCCACTCCACCCCTGGCACCCACCATTGCGCTCTCTGTTATCTATGAGCTTGGGTTTTTGTTTTTGTTTTTAGATTTCACATGTGAGATCATATGGTATTTGTCTTACTCTGTCTGACTTATTTCATTTAACATTATATCCTCAAGGTCCTTCTGTGTTAGTGCAAATGACAAGGCTTCATTCTTTTTTTAATGGATGAATAAAATTCCATTATATTCCATTATATATATATACATATATTTCATTATATATTTTCTTTATCACACAGTCTCACATTTTCTTTATCCATCCATCAATGGACACTTGTTTCCATATCTTGGTTATTGTAAATAATACTTCAGTGAACATAGGGGTATCTGTATCTTTTAGAGTTAGTGTTTTCGTTTTCTTCAGATAAATACCCAGAAGTCAAATTACTGGATCACATGGTATTCTATTTTTAATTTTTTGAGGAACTTCCATTCTGTTTTCCATAGTGGCTACTAGCAATTTACATTCCATCAATATAGTGCACTAGGGTTCCCTTTTCCCCACATCCTTGCCAACCCTGTTGCTTCCTGTCTTTCTGATACTAGCCATTCTGACAGGTATGAGGTAATAATCTCGTGGTTTTGATTTCCCTGATGATGAGTGATGTTGAGCACCTTTTTCATGTGTCTTTTGGCCATCTGTAGTATGTCTTCTTTGGAAAGTGTTGCTCTCTTTTTCTTGGATAAGCTGATTGGCAGGAGGCTATCAAGGAAGGCACCTTGAACAGTCTGCTCTTGAGCAAGCTATCTAAGCCACCAGGAAAAGTAATTTCAGTTACAGATGCATTCACTGAGAAACCTTGGTGTTTCTGCTGTTCCTGTGTAAGAACTTCCAATGTTCTTCTAGTGGTTCCCCCATCAGAATAAGCCATGAATGCATCATAATGAAAGCACCTCATTATAGTTGTTTACTCTCTCGTGTCAATTTGGGTGTTCCGAGAATAAGCTTTCAAGATGGAGAATAAGGTATTTGTTTGATGTAGTACCTGTAAATGATAAAGGAGAGAAGGCACATGAGTATGTAGGCAAAGCCTTTAGACCATGGTGCAGGTGTAGTATCTGTAAAGGCAGGAAGAAGAGAGGACTGGGTAGCAAGAGCCCCAGACTACCGTGCAAGTCTGAGAAAGTCTCCGGGGAGCTACAAAGCCTCCTGCATTTCTCAGCTCTTTTCTGGGGCTGCCCAGGGAAAGCATGGCACAGGCTTGAATACTGCAGCAGGTCCCTGATAGGCCACAGCTGGAGCATGTTGGCTGAGTACGCTCCATAGCAGGCTCTCTCTAAGGGGTCTCAGCAGCACATCCCCATAGCAACCACACTTGCTAGTCAAAACTCAACTTCTTGAGGAGTTGTATCGGTTAGCTGTTGCTGTGTAAAATCGAGCGTAAAATACAGTGGCTTTGAAAAAAAAAAAAAGTATTTCTCATGCATTTGAGAGTTGGCTCTGTTGAGTGGGAGTTGTGGGCCATCATCTGAGCTAGACTGGCCTCTACTAGCACAACTAGCTCTAATTTCCATGTCACTTGGCCCCCAACAGACTCACTGGGATGCATCCTCCTCTTACTAATATCAGAAGCACCAAAGAAAGCAAATGGAAATACACAAGGTCTCTTGAGGCCTAGATTTAGAACTGGCACTCTTTCACTTTGGCCTCATTCTACTGACCCAAGCAAGTCACAAGGTTGAGCCCAATGTTAAGGGGCAGCCCATCATTGGAGGACACTACAAAATTACATGGCAAAGTACATGGATGTGAGGAAGGGTAAAGGCTTGGAACCAAAACTGCAAACCACCACAGAATCCAGGCTAAAGTCTCTTTTTCAATAAATATCACTGGCAAATGTGAGGTTATCATGATAGCACCTAGATTATCAAAAGCCAGAGGAAGGCAAGAAATAGAACATTCACAAGTATCACAAGAAACATTTGAAAACCACGTTATATCTAATTGTCTCACTGGCCTAGGTCCCATCAGAAGAATAAATCCCATGAATCAGCTAGCGAATTTTAGATGAACAAATAGCTTTTTTTCTTAATTAACCGATTATTGTACTTTTCCTAAGGCATTTACAATGAGATGTATTAGCTATTGCACAAATTCTGCCTTGGCAGGTCCATAAATAACTGAGGGCAATTTTATTATGTAGAACCATTTTAACCAACATGTTTACACTGGTCTCTTGGGCCTCTACAGTTTGAGTTGTTTTATTTGCTATTTGGGGCATAATCAGGGATAAACATGTTAGAAAACATGTTTTAGTTTGGAAACACTTAGGGAGGGTTAGAAATCCCTGGTTAAACCAATGAAATCTGGTGATAGGTTACCCCATTGAGCTATTAACAAAATATGAGCACCTGGGAAAAGGAATTCTTACCTCTGAGGCACTGTTTCTATGTGTGAGAACAACAGTGCAGCCCATATATGGTTCAAAACCTGGTCTGAATCAAAAAGGTCAGGTTTGATACAGTGAAACTGGTATATTATGAAGAGGCAGAGGGGCTTTATGCTGTATCTCCCCAGAGTCATAAACCACCACATGGAGATCAGAAGAGAGAGTTCATCAATGGAACATCAGAAAAAGCCCCCCACACACACCAGGACGCCTGGGTGGCTCAGCTGGTTAGGTGCCTGCCTTCAGCTCAGGTCACGATCCCAGCGTCTTGGGATCGAGCCCCGCATCGGGCTCCCTGCTCGGCGGGGAGTCTGCTTCTTCCTCTCCACTCCCCCTGCTTGTGTTCCCTCTCTTTCTATCTCTATCTCTCTGTGTCAAATAAATTTAAAAAATCTGTAAAAAAGAAAAAGCCACCCACCACAAACACACACCACACTTAGCATACCCCCGTGTCAAACCTAAGAACTCCTCAACAGCATCCACGGGCAGTAATCCCTGAGCTCCCAAAACCAGCTCCAAAACACAGGGCTGAACTTTGCTTGAGCCACTTACCTGTTCCCAAAAAATAAATAAAATCAGTACAATTACTAAGATTATTCCAGCACAGAGAAAAACGTACTTCAGAGTACAAGCTGACTTCTGAGATCCTGCAGAAAGAAGAAAAGAACATTAAGAAGAAACCTCCTGGCCAGAGCCAGAGCCCATACAACCACTGCTAGGATCTGTGGCTGTATGTCATTTTCCCTGTCCCTGTGACCGTCTTGGCACCCTCCATTCCTATCACATACACCTCACCCATCAAACAGCGTGTGTGGCCCTTACCAGAATACACCACAATATCAAACACCACATACCACACACACACGCCATGCAACGTGTAAAGCTTCCAAACTACTACACCATCTCACTGCTACAGAGTGAACATGTGGGCCCCTCAAAATTCATATACTGAAATCCTAGTGCCCACTGTGATGGTATTAGGAGGTAGGGTTGGGAGAGGCGATTAAGTCAGGAGGGTGGAGGCCCTCGTGAATGGATTTTAGTGCCCTTATAACAGAGGCCCTAGAGCGATCCCTCATCCCTTCCACCATGTGGGGATACAATAAGAAGTCTGCAACCCAGAGGAGGGTCCTCACCCAACCATGCTGGCGCAATGATCACAAACGTTCAGCCTCCGGAACTGTGAAAGATAAAGTTCTGTTGTTTTTAAGCCACCCAATCTGTGGCACATTGTTATAGCAGCCTGAATGGACTAAAACATACATATAACCCAGACAAATCCCTCATACTATACACACACAGCATATTTCAATTTCATACTCCCCACATCCCACACATACTCTGTACCCATCTCTTCTCACACCACCCACACACATTCCTAGCCCTTACTTCCAAGAACAATTCTTCTCTCCTTCCAGGACCATCCTGGATACCCAGACCACATCCCCCAGGGCCGGTGGTCAGACCCTGCCTTTTTAAACCACTCTTAGCTCCAGGCAGGTGCATTAGACTAGCAGGGCCATACCCATCCAGGACCACAGCCATGAGCATGGGAGCCCAGAATATGAGCTCCATGAACCTCATCTTACCAGCAGGAGGGATTCTGTAGTGACCTGTAGATCTTGAGCTAAGCATCCCATGTCCCTGGGGAAAGTCCTGGGCATCTGCAAAATCACCCTACTATGGCGTCCCCATCTTGGGTACAACCCGTAAGATAGAACAATGGATTCAGCCTCTAAAAGCCAACAGTTTGCAGTGGACCTGGGGCCTGAGCAGAAGAGTTACTGGCAGGGCTGGGTCGCTGGTCCCTGACAGACTCTTATCTTCAGAGGACATGGACAGGATCCTGTCCCTTCTCTCCTTGTAGCTAGCAAGCTTCACACTTCAAGCCATATAGACCACCCAGATCACTTAAACTGCCAAAAGTAGCCCTATTTCCATCTGAGGACTATTGTCACCACTCTCCACCAACTAGACCACCTGCCCTGGCTTAGATACCTAGTCTGGACTGCTGACTCTGGGGCTGAGCTATGCCAGACCAAGCTTTCTATCTTCCCCACTTCCCCTGTCTTCCCCGAGACTGCCTGGAAACCAAAGTTTTACATTACCCAACCTCAAGGTGAAGAGCAGGGGAAATGTTCAGGAGGCTGCTTACCTATCATAGTCAAGGTGAAGTTGAGCCTCTGGGAGGTAGGCAAGGATTTGTGCCATACCACACACTGGTAGATGGTCATATTGTCTTCCAGAGAGGGCTTTAGCATCAAGAAGCTAGTGACATTAAACATGCCATCCTCATTTTTGGTGGTACAATTAGTGAAGACGCCCTCAGAAAACTCCACATACTGGGGATCCTTCTGGGTCCACTTTTTCCATGTTACAGTAATGTTTGTGGGGTAGAACCCACTTGCCATACACAAAATAAGTTGTTCTTCATTTTCTTTCACCATGGCTTGCTCCGGAAACAAGCTGCTGACTGGGTAAGCTGCCAAGAGAGAGAAGTCATGCTTCGAGGGTAGGTAGGGACTAATTTATTACCAGCCCAATGCAAGCCTTCAGGAAAGGTGAGCATACTGAATGGGATTCTGCTTAGGCTAAATATTCTACGTATGTTGGTTTCAGTGTCAGCTGATATGCTGTGGCCCCCTACTCTCACAGCAATTTCATAGAGCAGAGTTTCTTAAGCTACTCTGTATCATACACAGACACCTCTGAGAATCTGAGGGAAGCCTTGGAACACTGTTGTGGAGTAGAGACTACTAATGGCCAATTTCCATTCTTCAGTGACATATCCAAGTTAAAGCTACATCTCTCTACCTCCATGTAGCCATGTGAACTTAGGGTCTCGTCGTTTAGATGTAATCAGAAATGATGAGAGCAACATCCAGGAAGTATCCTTAAATAACAAGGGTGTCTTGAAGAAAACGACTGTGCCCTACTCTCCTCTCCCCCTTCCTCTTTCCTGCAGAATGGCTGGAATAGCACTTGATGGCTAGAGATGGAGAAGCCACTTCTGAACATAAGATGGCAGCTATAGGTTGAGAACGGCAAAGTGATAAGATAAAAGGATCCTAGGTCCCCTATGGTCACAGAACTGCCATAGCTGCCTTGGGTTGGCTACATTTGTGTAAAAGACAATAAACTCCCTTTTTTAAAAGCCATCGTTGACTTCTGGTTTCCCTTCTGACATGTAAAGACCCTGGAAGTCATAACAAGAAAAAAGCTGAGCTGAACAAACTATAAATCAACAAGTTTTCTTAGATCCATGAGAGAATTAAGGTGACAGGGCAAACCAGCACCCCAAAAACTAGAGAGACAGGCAGACTGAGAGAATCACAGCCAAGATAATGTCACCTTAAGCAGATGCCAGAGCCATAAACCAGTAGAAGCACTTAAGCAGTAACTCTTACAAATTGCTAAAGGATGAGCATGGACTAGCTTGACAGGAAGAAACTCCTGGGGGCCCAGTCTTATGGGGGTTACCATACTTTCATGGGTTTTACTGCCAGGAAACCCACACTGGTTCTCACAGTGAAGATTCAAGAAAAATCCCCTCCTATTTTCGGGGGAGAGGAAAAGTAACTAAAAATATACCCAGTGCATTAATCACAACAAAGGATGCTCAAGAGAAAAGACTTTGCCAGAGCCTTCTCCGACCTGGGTAAAGGATGATTAGCCAACTCTAGCCCCCTCTAGCCTTCCGGTCTCACCTATAAAAGCTTCTGAAGGTCACAGCCTCAGCCACAGGCTCAGGGGACTTCAAGAATGAGATTTAATGGTAAGACTGACTGCTTCCCCTCTGCAACCCTTTATCACCACAGCAACAGGGCTCCAGGGTGATAACAGTAGATGAAAACTGAGAGAGCTGCAAGGCACCAATTCTGTTTAAGAAAGAGGGAAACTCAAAAAAAACAGGTAGCCAGCAATGAGGACCTGCCTGTTCTGATGGGAACTCCTTACAAGGAGCCTCTTAAAAAACGTATTTTGTGTAGAAGACATGTAGATTATAAGAATGTATGGGTTTTGTCCCAGTTTATTTCTGCATTTACTGGATGCATTTATGGAAGGCACATAACAAGTCTTTGTGAGAAAAAACAAAAAGAAATCACAAAAGCAATTAAGAGAGCTCAGATAATGAGGTTTATGCCAGGTACATACAAGGATCCTGCATATCTCAAAGACCCTAAAGTTTGTAACATCAAGTATCAGGAGTAAATTATATGTTTTATCATCAATAAACATATTTTACAATAAAAAAGGGGGGGAGATAAAAAGAAAAGAAGCAAAGAACAAGTACAGCAAATAGAATGGTACATACTAATCCAACTATATACATAATCCCTTTAAATGAATGGTCTAAACACATCAATTAAAAGACAGAGACCTGGGGCACCTGGGTGGTTCAGTCAGTTAAGCATGTGCCTTCGGCTCAGGTCATGACCCCAGGGTCCTGGGATCGAACCCCGTATCAGGCTCCCTGCTCTGCGGCGCATCTGCTTCTCCCTCTCCCTCTGCCCCTCCCTTTCCCTCCACTTTGCTTTCGCTCTCTCTCTCTCTCATGTTCTCTCTCTCTCAAATAAATAAATAAATCTTAAGAAAAAAAAGGTCAAAATACGTAAGGAAAACCTGAAAGAACTTGAAGGAGAAACAGACAAATCCACAATTATAGTTGGAGATTTTAGACTCATCTTTCATTAACTAACAGAACAGCAGGCAGAAAAGCAGTAAGAAAACAGTTGAAAGGAACATCACCACCAATCAACTGGATCAAATAAATCAATAGGATACTTATCCAACAGCAGAATATACATTCTTCCCAAGCTCACATGGAACATTCACCAAGATAAATTGCATTCTAGCTCACAGAATACATCTTTAACATTTTTAAAGAATAGAAATCAGGCAGAATATGTTCTCAGACCACAATAGAGTTAAACCAGATATCAAAAAGCAGCAGGGGGCGCCTGGGTGGCTCAGTTGGTTGGGCGACTGCCTTCGGCTCAGGTCATGATCCTGGAGTCCCAGGATCAAGTCCCGCATCAGGCTCCCTGCTCGGCGGGGAGTCTGCTTCTCCCTCTGACCCTCCTCCCTCTCATGCTCTCTGTCTTTCATTCTCTCTCGCAAATAAATAAATAAAATCTTAAAAAAAAAAAAAAAAGCAGCAGGATGGCTGGAAAAATTCCAAATTTCTTAGGGTCAAAGAAGAAGTCTCAAGAGAAATTTAAAAATATACTTTGAACTAAATGAAATTAGAATGAAAATAACACATGAAAATTTGTGGGTGTGACAAAAATGGTTAGAGGGGAATGTATAGCATTGAATACATATTTTAGAAAAGAGGAAAGATATAAAGTCAACTATTTTAATTAATAAGCTTCCGCCTTCAGAAGCTAGAGGAAGAAGAGCAATTTAAGCTTAAAACAAGCAGAAGAAAAGAAATAACAAAAATTAGAGCAGAAATCAATGAAGTTGAAATCAATGGCGAAAATCAATGAAACCAAAAACTGGTGCTTTGAAATGATTACTAAAATTGATAAGCTTCTAGGTAAATTAAGGAAAAAAGAGAGAAGATATAAATTACTAATATCATAAATGGAAGAGGGATCACTACTGATACTATGAACAAAAGAATAATAAAGGAATATTATGAGCACATTATACCCACATATTTGATAACTTAAATAAAATGGACCAATTCCTTAAAAGACACAAATTAACGAGATTCACACAAGAAAAATAAGATAATTTGAATAGGCCTGCATCTATTAAAGAAACTGAATCAGTAATTAGTAACCTTCAAAAAAAAGAAAGCACCAGGCCCAGATGGTTTCAATGGTGAATTCTACCATTAAAGTTAATTATGATACCAATTTTTTTTTGCTATTTATTTTTTTATTCTTATGTTAATCCCCATACATTACATCATTAGTTTTAGATGAAGTGTTCCATGATTCATTGTTTGTGCATAACGCCCAGTGCTCCATGCAGAACGTGCCCCCCTCAGTACCCACCACCAGGCTAACCCATCCTCCCACCCCCCTCCCCTCTAGAACCCTCAGTTTGTTTTTCAGAGTCCATAGTCTCTCATGGTTCGTCTACCCCTCCGATTTCCCCCGCTTCATTCTTCCCCTCCCGCTACCTTCTTCTTCTTTTTTTTTTCTTAACATATATTGCATTATTTGTTTCAGAGGTACAGATCTGAGATTCAACAGTCTTGCACAATTCACAGCGCTTACCAGAGCACATACCCTCCCCAGTGTCTATCACCCAGTCACCCCATCCCTCCCACCCCACCCCCCACTCCAGCAACCCTCAGTTTGTTTCCTGCAATTAAGAATTCCTCGTATCAGTGAGAATTATGATACCAATTTTTTACAATTTCATCTAGCAACTAGAAGCAGAGGGAACACATCCTAACTCATTCTATGAGCCCAGTAATACACTAATATCAAAATCAGATAAAAGCATTACAAAAAAGGAAAACTACAGACCAATATATCTCATTACACTGAATGCAAAAATCCTCGACAAAATATTAGCAAATTGAATTCAACAATGTATAAAAATAATTATACACTACAACTGAATGAGACTTATTCAAGGTATTCAAGACTGGTTCATCATTCAAAAGTCAATTAATATAGGGATGCCTGGGGGGCTCAGTCGGTTAAGCGTCTGCCTTCGGCTCAGGTCATGATCCCAGGGTCCTGGGATCGAGTCCCGCATCGGGCTCCCTGCTCCGCGGGGAGCCTGCTTCTCCTTCTGCCTCTATCTCTCTCTCTGTCTCTCATGAATAAATAAATAAAATCTTTAAAAAAAAAAAAAAGTCAATTAATATAATCCAAGACATCAACAGACAACAGAAGAAAAATTATGTGAGCATATCAATTACATGGAAAAACCAATGGCAAAATCCAACACCCATTCATGTCAAACACTCACAGCAAACCAGGAATAAGGGGAACTTTCTCAACTTGAAAAAGAACGTCTACAAAAAACCTACAGCAAACATCATACTTAATGGTGAGAAACTAAGGACAGGAACAAAGCAAGGATATCGCCTCTAAGCCTATTCAATATCGTAATGGAAGTCCTAGCTAGTAAAATAGGACAAGAAAAGGAAATAAAATATACACAGGTTAAGAAGGAAAAATGAGGGCGCCTGGGTGGCTCAGTTGGTTGGGCAACTGCCTTCGGCTCAGGTCATGATCCTGGAGTCCCTGGATCGAGTCCCGCATCGGGCTCCCTGCTCGGCAGGGAGTCTGCTTCTCCCTCTGGCCCTCCCCCCTCTCATGTGCTCTCTCTCATTCTCTCTCTCTCAAATAAATAAATAAAATCTTAAAAAAAAAAGAATTATAAAAAAAGAAGGAAAAATGAAACTGTCTTTGTTCTCAGACACATGATTTATATAGAAAACTTCCAAAGACTTGACCAAAAAATATTTAAACCCTAGAACTAGTAAGTGATTACAACAGGCTACAGGAC